ATTGCCGTCATTGTTAGGCGAGCTTTAGCTAGTTTAGCTATAAATAAACTTTTTTTTTTTTTTTTTTTTTGCTGGGTTAACTGTTTTATGGTTACTGAATAAATAGGCCTATTTAGTTGGGGTTTTAAACAATACAAAACAAGTGCTGCCACGAGATGGGGCAAGAGAGTCGGCCGCATAGTGTTGTTGTTCAATTGGTCACACATAGGGAGTTGAGCGTTGGGTCGGGGAGAGTTGGGTAGGGGAGAGTTGGGTAAGGGAGAGTCGGCTAGGGGAGAGTTGGCTAGGGGAGAGTCGGGTAGGGGAGAGTTGGGTAGGGGATGATAAAAATATCATTTTGATCAGTGCATACCTGGTGGTCAAATCATACCTAGTGGTCTAGTGATAGCTGTATACCTATTTGTCACTGCATACCTAGAGGTGACCATTTTTTGAAAAGTTACGCCAGGGTTTACAAAATTTACACTTGGCCGAACTTTTGGAATAAAATTTGCCAAGCACGTCATCGACATAATAATATATGTTACAATTACACAAGTGATACATTTTAAACAGACAAACCATGTCACTTCTGTATGTGTACTTCTATCCTACGAGGAATGTATTTCGAGAGAGTAAAATGTATTGTTATATGGCTTCTATGAATTTATCTGCACCTTTCTGATACCGGTATTACAATTTTAAAAAAAGATATCTGATATAGAAGCAGGTTTCTTGGAAAGTGGGTCAGTGATAATGTACCATGCTCTACAATCTCTGATGAGAAATATGAGGTGTGGGAGGGGGGGGGTCATTGTTTAGCCTATAATATAGTTCCGTACATTCAAACTTCATATAGGCACCGATCCCTGTGATTCAAAAAAAAAAAGCTAATTTAAACTGCCGAATATTATGGGACACCGTGAGTGGTGGGTAACAAAGTACATTCCAACTGCAGCCATCCATCATGATGACCAGGCGGTCACAAGTCTCTAGATCATATTTTTGAAACGATCTCTGATGGCGTCAACGCTCACGTTCAATCATCATCGTCTCCATGGGATCGCTCACTGACCTCAGGGGACAGAACTCATAATGCTAATCTGGGCCAAAATAACATCATTATCCTTTATATATTGCTTTATAATTGTACGTTTATTTCATGGGCTCACATCACCAAAGTAGACATTTGAAAACTAGATGGCATTCAATATCGTTATAATTAAAATGATTATTTGTTGCATTTTGCCGGATATCTATGTTTTGGTGTATTCAATGAGTGTCGAGTCTCAGTATTGTTATGGTCTGGGGGGGGGGGGGGGGGGGGGGGGGCTAGATTCACCGTGTTGGAGGTTGTCCAAGATCCATATTTTGTTATATTCTAGGAGTACGAGATCTATGACTTACTAAGTCTTAGTCTTAGAGAAGTAGTAGGCCTATTTTTCTAAGACTTAGTAAGGCATAGAAATTATAAAGTTTACACTGTGATAGACTTGCAGTATTTGAACAATATTTCAGCCGGGATCGGTACATAATCTATTGATTTATTGGTCTTTGACTTTTCCAATCTTCTTTAATTGTTTCTCCTCTGTGACTGTGAGCTCATGGGCCAACGCTTTGCTCAAATTTTTTTGAGTATTGTTTTACAAGTGTAGAGTAGGACTGTATTTGCCTGCTCCTCTTCATTGATGTCGGTAAAGTTAAAAACGCACTTTCTAACATACATTATCTTATGTTCAATTTTTATTTTCCCACAAGTTTAAAAAAAAAGATTTTAAAAAATTAAACATGACAAAGAAGCCTTTTAATTTCCAAACAATGGATTTGTTCTATAACTTAAAAATAGACTTACGGGATGGATCATTCGCCAGACTAGTAAACATAATTTATTCTTGGAGAAACTTTACGTGACGTTTGGGCCTGCTTCCGTACAAGTTTTCTGTGTCTTGTCATTTGGCGACCTCATTTATCAACTTCAACTAAGTCAAGACAGACAGACGATGTATGGCACGTCCCCATACACATTTATCATGTAGGGTGAAAAAAATAATTCGGAATTAAAACAAAAGTATATACCCATGAGAACCGATCAATATCTATTTATAAATAGAGGAAATTTCCCCTTAAAGTGTTAATATAAAAGGGTAACAAACAGGCTGACGGTGGTCAGAGTGAAGGATAAAAAGGATTTTGATACAGACTGTTTAGCTTAAATATCAGCAGTATAGATATTAGACTAAAAAGTATATACAAAAGCTTTTGCCCGACCAGGTAAGTGTTATATAAATTTTATTTAATGTGACCGTTCATTTCTAACTAAAAGAGTAGCCAAGGTATTGAATAATGTATTGAAAAAAAAAAAAAACTATTTTAAAAAAATATTTTAAAATTCATTATAAAAAAATTAACAAAATAATTTATAAAAATAAAAAACTTATAAAGTTAAATTAATGTGACCGTTCATTTCTAACTAAAAGAGTAGCCAAGGTATTGAATAATGTATTGAAAAAAAAAAAAAAACTATTTTAAAAAAATATTTTAAAATTCATTATACAAAAATTCACAAAATAATTTATGAAAATAGAAAACTTATGAAGTTAACAACAGAGTTGTTTATTTATAAACATTATTAGGATTAGGAAAAATGTGCGTGACAAAATTTAAAGAATTCTCCTTTCATAGTAAAATTAAAAACATAAATCTCTCCTAGGTGAATCTCTAATAAGTATTAGAACGCCTATGTTCTATATTAAAATAATTAACATTGAACACTATTGTGTATTGTCATTTAAGATACATCAAACACAAAATATAGACATGTTATTGAAGAAAAATAAATAATTCATCTACTTCATTTCAGATAAATAAATGGCTAGTAAAATATATTTGGGCTTCTTTTTGGTGATCTGTATCAGTTTGACAGTTGCTAGAGTGTGGGAGATAGAAATACCAAGAAAGCTCCAGGATTGCTACAATTTGGTACAACATGCAGACATTCAGACATACGTTGGCAGTACTTATAGTTGGCTTTGTGAAGGTGTCATAAATAACATGGCAAAAGGGAACTCTCCACAATTCGAACCCCACAAAAATCAGTGAGTATGTACCACACACTTCAAAGTTAAAGCCAAAGCTTTAAAATTAGCGAACAAGATGCAATCCTTATCAATTTGTATATATTCACTCGAACCAAATTATTTTTATTTTTTAAATAGTATATGAAAAGCGGATAGTCATAACTAGTCGTCTTAGAGATCAATAATTCATTAGTCTTAGTTCTTCTTCTTCTTCTTCTATATCTTAAGGGCCCACGATCAATTTATTGATCATTTTGGCTCCTATTTAGTTACCTGACTTGCCTCGTATAATCATATTAATTCATATAGTCTTATAGTCTATAAGTCTATATAGTATAAGTAATAGGCAGTATAGTATATAGTATATAGTATATAGTATAGGCATAGGCCATAGGCCTATTCAATTGTATAGTTATAGTCTAGAAGTATAGTATAGTATAGGCTATAGTTGAGTACTGACTTGGTATTGTTGTTTGTCCAACATCATCATTGTCATTATCAAATAATTCAATTTAATGTCAAAATGGCTCAATATCATTCATTGAAAATAAATGACATTCATAATCGTCACACTCACAGCGACAGTCATGGTATAGTATGAGTATGATGATTGCCATGCTGATAATGATAGTGATATCTCACTAACCTGGCATTGGCATCCACTACTGACAACATATAATGAATTATGAATAATGATATAAAAATTGGGTTTTAAAGAAAAATCATATAATAATAAATAGCTTCCTAATTTTAAAAAGTTATAATTTATAATGCTCTTAATAGTCTTAACGGAACATTGTCATTTATTTGTGAACTATCATTTTAATCTGACCTAACTATTGACACACTCTGATTGGACCCCAATTATTGCGTTATAGTTATGTTATACTTTAATACAACATAACTGATAACGATGTTCCAATGTACGTGGATTTGATTTAAATATATTTAATATTATATTTGAAATAAAAGTATGAATATTTAGTTTAGCCTACTGACAAAACAATTTCTATTTCCTGGATTTCCATTTAAAGTTTTTACAGCCAACTTTATAACAAGTCTACAGAATTTTCCACATTGAGTGGTACTTCCCCAAAGTGTGTACGTAAAGAGTACAGAACACTCACAGATGAGGAAAGAAGCAGATTTCATGAAGCTGTGAATGCTATGAAAAGAGATACTGTATGTTATCATTTGAATTACACTGTTTTAAATGGTTCATCTTCTTAGTTTTTTTATTTATTTTTTTTGTCTTTCTTGTTTGTTTGTGCAGATCAAATGTCATTAGCCATTACCTTAAAATATATAATAAAATTAAGGCAAAAGCTAAAAATAAAATTTTTTGAGTGTATAATTTATTGAAAATCTCATATGTATTGTGTTTGATTTTTTTTGCAAAGCTTACTTAAAACTAAATAAAATCAATGTAGAAGAAAATCTGGATACTGTAACATTTGAGTGAATAATTTTAAATAAGTAATGATTATTTTAGCAATATGAAATAATTATTAAAGTGGTCTGAGCTGTTTCTGTTTCACTGTGATGTTTCTGAATTTCAGAGTGTTGAGCCTAACAAATATGATGCAATAGCTTTACTTCATAGTGGTCTCCCTTCCTTCACCGCACATGGTGGAGCTGGTTTTCCAGGCTGGCATAGAATATTTATTCTTATGTAAGCGTTTACCTAATTTATTTTTTAATAACGGGATATCCATGCTTAGTTTAAAAAAATTGAGATAAGAACCTTAAAGTTGCCTTGGATTGGAGACATTTTGTGTATGCAAACCTTTTATAAAGATATCTCCAATTGTTTAGGTTTGAGACAGCCTTGAGAGAAATTGACCCACTAGTTTGTTTGCCGTACTGGGACTCCTCTATTGATAATGAATTAGATGACCCCCGCCTCTCCTCAGTTTGGACATCTCAGTTTTTCGGAACGGCCCAGGGCCCTGTTGTGGATGGTCCATTTGCTAACTGGATTACCCCAGATGGTTCCCAGCTGATAAGAAATGTTGGATCTGATGGTGAGCTGTTTACATCTACAGCTATACAAGACATTCTATCTAGAACCAGGTCAGTAATTAACAAACTTTTGACTTTTTAATTAACAAGAACAGTCACTTCACTGAATTATTTTTATTCAGTTTTTAGAAATTCTTCTTTGCAGTTGTATGTCTTATAAAATGTTTACTACCATTTTAATTAACAGGCATCAAGAGATTCTCACATTGCCGGAAGTTGAACCTCGCTATGACCTTGAGTTCCACCATGCAGCAGTACATGTGTTTTGTGGTGGAGCCATGGGTCAGCTGGACACCTCAGCTTTTGACCCTATCTTCTTCCTCCACCATGCTTTTGTGGACTACATCTGGGAGCTATTCAGGACAAACATGAGAAGTCAAGGGCTTGATCCAGAACAGTATCCTGATATTGCAGTAAGTCACTTTCAATACAAACAGAACAGTATCCAGATATTGCAGTAATTCTTTTTCAGTACAAGCAGAACAGTTTCTATGTATTGCAGTAGGTCACTTTCAATACAAACAGAACAGCATCCAGATATTGCAGTAATTCTTTTTCAGTACAAGCAGAACAGTTTCTATGTATTGCAGTAGGTCACTTTCAATACAAACAGAACAGCATCCAGATATTGCAGTAATTCTTTTTCAGTACAAGCAGAACAGTTTCTATGTATTGCAGTAAGTCACTTTCATTACAAACAGAACAGCATCCAGATATTGCAGTAATTCTTTTTCAGTACAAGCAGAACAGTTTCTATGTATTGCAGTAGGTCACTTTCAATACAAACAAAACAGCATCCAGATATTGCAGTAATTCTTTTTCAGTACAAGCAGAACAGTTTCTATGTATTGCAGTAGGTCACTTTCAATACAAACAGAACAGCATCCAGATATTGCAGTAATTCTTTTTCAGTACAAGCAGAACAGTTTCTATGTATTGCAGTAGGTCACTTTCAATACAAACAGAACAGCATCCAGATATTGCAGTAATTCTTTTTCAGTACAAGCAGAACAGTTTCTATGTATTGCAGTAGGTCACTTTCAATACAAACAGAACAGCATCCAGATATTGCAGTAATTCTTTTTCAGTACAAGCAGAACAGTTTCTATGTATTGCAGTAGGTCACTTTCAATACAAACAGAACAGCATCCAGATATTGCAGTAATTCTTTTTCAGTACAAGCAGAACAGTTTCTATGTATTGCAGTAGGTCACTTTCAATACAAACAGAACAGCATCCAGATATTGCAGTAATTCTTTTTCAGTACAAGCAGAACAGTTTCTATGTATTGCAGTAGGTCACTTTCAATACAAACAGAACAGCATCCAGATATTGCAGTAATTCTTTTTCAGTACAAGCAGAACAGTTTCTATGTATTGCAGTAGGTCACTTTCAATACAAACAGAACAGCATCCAGATATTGCAGTAATTCTTTTTCAGTACAAGCAGAACAGTTTCTATGTATTGCAGTAGGTCACTTTCAATACAAACAGAACAGCATCCAGATATTGCAGTAATTCTTTTTCAGTACAAGCAGAACAGTTTCTATGTATTGCAGTAGGTCACTTTCAATACAAACAGAACAGCATCCAGATATTGCAGTAATTTTTTTTCAGTACAAGCAGAACAGTTTCTATGTATTGCAGTAAGTCACTTTCATTACAAACAGAACAGCATCCAGATATTGCAGTAATTCTTTTTCAGTACAAGCAGAACAGTTTCTATGTATTGCAGTAGGTCACTTTCATTATCAATGCAAAAAAAAAAAAAAAAAAAACCCAAAAAAAAAAAAAAAAAAAAGCTCAGAAAAACAATGACCCCATTCATACTTTATAATCTACAGAAAGATGTGTCATAAATGCTTTACTAATATCTCAAATTGTCTCTGTCTCAGGGCATGGACAGCAGACACCACAGCACATACCCCACAGGATTTAGTAATTTAACCCATGCTGATGGCTATTTGGATATCATGCAGGAGACATATGATTATGAACCAACTCCTACATGCAGCATTAATTCACCTGACTGCAATTCCAGGTAGCCAATAAGAATATTATATACAGCCAGTGCTCGACTTACGGCATATGCAACTTAAGACCATTCGATTTATGACCAGAATCACTGGCCATATTAGATTTCAGATTTATTTCTGCCTCAATTATCAGTCGAACGGCGTTGTCTGCAATCATCAGGGTTGGTTAACTAAGGAAAGGGAGGCATGCTGCTATGATGATGCTATGCTGCTAGCTGGCTTCATCAATTTCTAAGAAATAACACGGTCACACTCAATAACACTAGGTCCATCGACTTCCCCAAGCGCTGCTTAAGCTTGTTGATTGGAGAGCTCTTCAGAGTTTGAAAATTTGAATTCCCATCTCCCATCGAAAACTATGATTTATAACAATAATAAAATAAATTTATGATATAATTTAACTTAAATATTTTTATAACATCACTTCACATTACTGTACACATAGCATACTCAACTTACGACCTAATTGTGTTACGACCGGTCTGTCAGAACCAATCGTGGCCATAAGTCGAGCACTGGCTGTATAACACATTTTTAAACAGGGGTGTACAAAAAATATTGCTTTTAATAATAGTTTGATAAAGGATCATCAAAAACTGATTTTTAAAATGAATGATTTATTTAAATTTTAGTAGGAGCTCCATTTCACAATAAATACGAACCAATGCAAATGAAATTCAAATTAAATGTACAAATAGTGCACTTTCTATTTTGATACATGTTTATTTAAAAAAAACAAACAAACCAAGTGCTGCTTAGCTCCTGTAACCATTTTAAAATGTGCATTATGTCAACCAACAGGTACCTGAGGTGCCAAGTGAAAACAGGACGTTGCATTCCTATAACTCAAAATACCATCAGAGAGCCAGTCCCACCATTACCTGTCCTGAATGACATTTTTACACCTACCACCGGCTCATCCTATGACAAAAGCACAACTTCACCATGTGACACGAGAACCAGCAAGGTGTACGGCCTGCCGGTTCAGAATGACTTCTGCTGTGACAAGACCTGTGACACAAGTGAGTGGGTCATGATACCCGTAAAGGTGGTTAATGTCAGACCACCCAAGTTCAACAAGTATCAGAGTTATCCTGTCCATAAGGGTCAGATAGATCAGAGAGAGGACATCTATTCTCCAAGTGCCTACAGCCAGACAAACAGGTAGTCATACTGTCACTACATATCAGGTAGTCATAATGTCACTACATATGCATTAGTAAAATCTTGAATAGCAGAAAACTGAAAAATCATCTTTATTATAGATAGGGCCTAATTATTTGCTTGAGTCGGCTAAGAATCTGATTACTAAACTGGCTCCTGCACCGACTCTTTTGATATTTCTGTTGTATAATTCATTCAGTTTTATACCCTAAATGCCTAAACATCATGACACATTTTAAAATACTAGTTTTGGCTTCAATAGCTGAGTTCAGTATTGGTATGATACATAGTGTTGATTTAGTTTTATGAGGAAAAGTAATTCATTTAAAATAGATTTATTTAAAAAGTCAATGCGTTACCATAAAAAGTTGTGCTCACTGCCTAACCAGATTTTTTATTTGTCTCAGATACATCTCAAGCAGACAGAGCAACCCAAAGACATACAAACGCTGTGGCGGAGATGGTAGCATAGGCCAGGTCTACTTGTCGTCCAAGGGAATCAACTACGATGGCTTCTACAAGGAGGCGGCCATAGTTGACCAAAGGCTGGCTGTGTCTATTTCAATGGGCTTTGTCAGCGCCAAGAATCCTAGGAGATCTAGTAGTAAGTAGACAAACCGTTATGGTTAAGAGGCTTCTATCACAAAATGGTCAAGTCTACATTTTAAAAAAATGTCTTTTGGTCAACAAAATATGCTAAAATTATTTTTGTGAAACATAGTCAGTCCAGTTTGGATTTTAGATTAAACAACCATCAACATTTTTTTCCCCGTATAAATCCTTTATGAAACGTAATATCAAGTGGGAGGGGGGGGGGCTGAAATTTGACAAAAACATGCATACAAGTAACGCACTTGATAAGAATCCCAGTTAGTGCTCGTCCCTCAAGGCTCACAACGGCACTTTATAAGAATCCCAGTTAGTGCTCATCCCTCAAGGCTCACAACGGCACTTTGTAAGAATCCCAGTTAGTGCTCGTCCCTCAAGGCTCACAACGGCACTTTATAAGAATCCCAGTTAGTGCTCGTCCCTCAAGGCTCACAACGGCACTTTATAAGAATCCCAGTTAGTGCTCGTCCCTCAAGGCTCACAACGGCACTTGATAAGAATCCCAGTTAGTGCTCGTCCCTCAAGGCTCACAACGGCACTTGATAAGAATCCCAGTTAGTGCTCGTCCCTCAAGGCTCACAACGGCACTTGATAAGAATCCCAGTTAGTGCTCGTCCCTCAAGGCTCACAACGGCACTTGATAAGAATCCCAGTTAGTGCTCGTCCCTCAAGGCTCACAACGGCACTTGATAAGAATCCCAGTTAGTGCTCGTCCCTCAAGGCTCACAACGGCACTTGATAAGAATCCCAGTTAGTGCTCGTCCCTCAAGGCTCACAACGGCACTTGATAAGAATCCCAGTTAGTGCTCGTCCCTCAAGGCTCACAACGGCACTTGATAAGAATCCCAGTTAGTGCTCGTCCCTCAAGGCTCACAACGGCACTTGATAAGAATCCCAGTTAGTGCTCGTCCCTCAAGGCTCACAACGGCACTTGATAAGAATCCCAGTTAGTGCTCGTCCCTCAAGGCTCACAACGGCACTTGATAAGAATCCCAGTTAGTGCTCGTCCCTCAAGGCTCACAACGGCACTTGATAAGAATCCCAGTTAGTGCTCGTCCCTCAAGGCTCACAACGGCACTTGATAAGAATCCCAGTTAGTGCTCGTCCCTCAAGGCTCACAACGGCACTTGATAAGAATCCCAGTTAGTGCTCGTCCCTCAAGGCTCACAACGGCACTTGATAAGAATCCCAGTTAGTGCTCGTCCCTCAAGGCTCACAACGGCACTTTATAAGAATCCCAGTTAGTGCTCGTCCCTCAAGGCTCACAACGGCACTTTATAAGAATCCCAGTTAGTGCTCGTCCCTCGAGGCTCACAACGGCACTTTATAAGAATCCCAGTTAGTGCTCGTCCCTCAAGGCTCACAACGGCACATTTTTTTTCATGCCCCTGAACTATATTAATTTTCTAATGACCCACCCGGTTTTACACCACAGGGGTCGTCCATTAATTACGTCAACAATTTTTCCACAATTCTTTATCCCATCCCCCTCCCCCCCTTGTCAACAACTGTCAAACTTTCAATGACTCCGCCATTTAATTATGTCAACATTTTATACCCCCCACCCCCCAAAAAAAATAAATTATGAATTATAATATCAATAAATTTATAAAAACGTTTTACTTTGTGCTGATGTATTTTTTAACACAAAGTCTTGAGCTTGTTAATCAACAAGTTAGAAAGGTTTTTTTTACACTTACATTTTGTAATGCAGAATCCATTAAAAGATTGTTAAAGACTAAATATCATTGTTTGTGGAAGTATAAATATGATTATTGTCACTATAGCTGACAATTATAGTATAGTTTCTATCTGCTATTATCTTCCCATGGGGTAGCCAGGTGTTGCTCTATCCTGAAATGGGCATCAGGGACATCATTTGGGTAGGGCAGGGGGGCTGGTTTTATTTAAATTGCTATGTACTCTGGCGCCTCCAGTAATAAACAACTTAACAAGCCGACCAAGTTTTGGTTTTGCCCCCCTCCCCCCTTTCCCCTGAAAAAACCTGAAAGGACGCCCCTGATGGGCATAGTCAATAGTAGCTGATTTATCTTGCGGAACGAACTGATATACCAGACAAGTCAACATCATCCTAATCTAACCATTCAGCATCTAAAATAGAAGTATTGTCTGTATGAGCAATAGTTGTCTTTGATTTGGTATAGTTGTTATTGAACACTGATGAGTTAGTGTTTTTTTAATTGAACAGCGTGTTCAATGATGTGTTAATCATTCTAGGGAGCGGATTAAGAGAAAATTGACACGTGAAGAGATGCCAACTTTTGACTTCGCTTGCATTAACAAAGTGTGCTAACATTCTGACCAGCCATCTGCATTTCACAGACAGACACACATTAAATAACTCTTATATTGTTAAAAACCTTAACATATATGACTATTTACACTTATTAAATTGTTTAAAATAATTTAAGAACTAGTCAATTTTTAAGATTAAAATTTTAATAGAAAAAACATGATTGTTGACGTCAAATAATCTAACACCCCCCCCCTGTCAAAAACTGACAAAAATTTCCAAACCACCTCCCCACTATTTTGTTGACGTAGCTAATGTACGCCCCCACAGACTTATTTAACTAACCATTTCAGAAAAACAAAAGAAAATATTACATACCAAACGCACTTGCCATATTTTTTTTAAAAGAATCTCAGCGCAGTCATCTGGAATTTTAGTTCGTGAAATCATGTTTCCGTCATCTTCCGTTGAAACACAGGAAAACTGATTTTTTTTGGGGTTGGGGGATGGGACTGAAAATTTGATAGAATGTGTTGTCATTGACAACGAGTCTATGTGCCAAGTTTCAACTCAATAGGCTGACCGGAGTGGGTCAATTAGCCATCTGAAGATTTTTTCAGCTTGTCAGCCACAAACAAAAGCAAAGTTAATATAAAGGATTTTTAAAAAAAAAAAGGATTTATGCAAAATTAGAAAAAAAAGAAGAGGGCAAAAGATCCTCATGTCCCATAAGGTGTCAGTAACATCAAGTAGTAGGCTTAGTGACATTTAGTAGGCTAACATCAAGTAGGCTTAGTGACATTTAGTAGGCTAACATCAAGTAGGCTTAGTGACATTTAGTAGGCTAACATCAAGTAGGCTTAGTGACATTTAGTAGGCTAACATCAAGTAGGCTTAGTGACATTTAGTAGGCTAACATCAAGTAGGCTTAGTGACATTTAGTAGGCTAACATCAAGTAGGCTTAGTGACATTTAGTAGGCTAACATCAAGTAGGCTTAGTGACATTTAGTAGGCTAACATCAAGTAGGCTTAGTGACATTTAGTAGGCTAACATCAAGTAGGCTTAGTGACATTTAGTAGGCTAACATCAAGTAGGCCTAGTGACATTTAGTAGGCTAACATCAAGTAGGCTTAGTGACATTTAGTAGACTATCACTTTGCACGTATTTGTCCCACGTTGACAGAACTAAAGGGCCAAGTCTGTTTTATAATTACATAAGACTTCAAGTGTAAATAACAGGATAATACAAAAGATGGCAATAACATTTTTTGGGGAGCAATGTTAATTTTTTAATGAGTTCATTAATCGTGAATTAATTGCTCTCACTGGTTTAATCCTAAAGCTGGAGTAACCAAGGCGCTCCTCCGTGCTCATGATTCATGTGGACGAGTTTGTCACGCAGCTTGTAAAGATCCCATCACTCAGGACTTCAAAGACTGTAGTGGAGCTGTAGCCATTAGTGCAGAGGCTCCTCTCATGTATGGGTCAAGCTATGATGAAGGTATTTATTTTGCTTTAGCTTTGATGAGGGTATATTTATCTGTTGATCAGCTATGCTGTGGGTATAATTATCTGTTGATCAGCTATGCTGTGGGTATATTTATCTGTTGATCAGCTATGCTGTGGGTATATTTATCTGTTGATCAGCTATGCTGTGGGTATATTTATCTGTTGATCAGCTATGCTGTGGGTATATTTACTTTCCTTGATTAGCTATGCTTAGGAAATGTTTAGTTGTTTAGCTTAGCTGTGATCAAGATATATTTCATTCTTCTATTTAGCTTTCATGAAGGTTTATTTAGTTGTTATTTTAGCAATGAGGGCAGGCTTTATTAAGTTGTCTTGTTTATTTGTTGAACATTTACTCCGTTATGTCACATTAAAATAACTAAGATATTTTACACAATATTAATTTTACTGGAAAAAAAATCCCCCCCCCCTTTCCCCCCCCTTTCCCATTGCAAGGGTTATTTTACTAACAATATTATTTTGTCTAAACATTTGTGTATTACTGAATTATGCAACTATACAGAGCAAAAATATTTTTTGTTTCAGCTGTTTTGAGTGTGTTTGACTTTGAGTTCAACAGTGATTGCCCCAAGTTTAAGACTGAGAATTTTTTCATCACATTCTACTGTGACTATCACAATGACTTTCCTTATGCTGAGCACAGCCACACCCCGCGGCAAGCCCCTCCTGTGGTTGATCCCAGACACCCTCCAGCTGTAATGTCAAGTTCTTCTGGTAATTTAGTGAGAAAAATTTTTTAAAACCAAGAAATCAATAATAATCAAACAAAGAAACCATTTCCATTAATCTGTAAAGCACTTAGCGCAATACACAATAGTTTTGAGTGAGCAATAAAGCTATTCATTTATGATACTTGTCTCTTGTTCAGTCAAGTGTTAATCCAGAGGAGTGTTCAAAGCTGTATTTGTTTATACTTCAGGCTGCCAGGTAACCCAACAGTGTGTCTTAGATGTGCCATGTTTGAGTCCTACAAGACAATGTCGGTTGTACAATGAGAGACACGCGTGCCGCGGCTCATGTGAAACCTACGCCATCTGTACATTTGGAAGATATTTTACAAGGCAGTGTCCCGAGGGGCACTACTTTGACGACAATATAAAAATGTTAGTATTTGAAGCAATTGCATTACACTAATTTTACTTTCTTTGACCTCTGCTGCAGTTTAATTCCAAGGACTCGATGATTTATGTTTTTAATGTGTACTGAATCATTCATTGCATTCTTTCTGCTGCATTGCCATCAGCCGTTTTCAATTGAAAAGCTGGATGCTCGAGTAGCAATATCCACCAGTTCACACTATGCATAGATACCATTTCAAGCAAAAAAACCAGCACAAAATATTTGTGTTGTCATCAATACTAGAGTGATTTTTAAAGACTTCATAAAATTATTCTCTTAGAAGAATAAAAATGAAGAACATTTCTAAAATTTACCATTTATTATTTTTTTTCAGCTGTGTTGTTGGAAATTGCTTGAGATCACCCGCTGACACCGTCCCAAATTTTCCTGCTGGCATATCCATGCTGCCTCCAGCCATTCAGAGAATCAGAGGCTATCCCAACCTACTACAAGACAACAGTTTAGCAGCTTTCAGAAATAGAAATCCAACTGTACATAACTTCTACTCTCATTATCTTTCTGGGAACTCAAGAAATTTTGGGTAAATAACAAACCAGGGCATTAAAGAGAAAAAAAACACAGGAGAATTGACATCATTACAATGGGACTCAACTAGACAGTAGACTTTTGTTCACACATTAACTTCTGTGGCAGGCGAAGCTCTTTTGGCAATACAATTTCCACAGCTAATGTTAGGAATGGGGACCACTTGTGTACCCTAAAAACTATCCTTTGTGCCAGAAGAGGTAATTTGTTTTAAAACTCAGAAGCTAATTGTTGTTATCACATCTTGTCTGATACGCATTTGGTAAAGTCACTTGACATCAATGTCATGTGACCAGTCTAAGCAATCTCTGTCAGTTGTAAATCATTTAGAAGGGCCTGTAACTCAATGTCACCTCTGCATAACTAAGGCAATCATGATCTCTAAGTGACTGACACTGCCATCTGTGATTTCTATGTGACTGAGGCAGCCAAACATCTATGTGACCAGGCAGCTAACATGATCTCCAAGTGACTGAGGCAACCTGACATGATCACTATGTGACTGATGCAGCCATCTGTGATCTCTATGTGACTGAGGCAGCCAAACATCTATGTGACTGAGGCAGCCAAACATGATCTCAGTGTGAGTGAGGCAGCCAAACATGATCTCTATGTGACTGAGGAAGCCAAACATCATCTCTATGTGACTGAGGAAGCCAAACATGATCTCTATGTGACTCAGACAGCCAAACATGATCTGAGGCAGCCATACTTCTTTGTGAATGGAGGATTTTTTATTTACACAAATTGTTACTCATTAAACTACTTCAAACTGCATCGTGGTCCAAACCTCTTATAAGGAGAGAAAGTGCTTGATAAGCGGATATCAATTAAACAACTCATAAAAAGTTTTTTGCATAAATCCTATAAATGCATTTAAAAAACTGTATATTATTTTATATTAATATTCTAATGTCCCACCCGCTTTTACACCGCATGTTATTTCACCAGCTATTTCGGAAAAGACAAAAGAAAATATTAAGCACCAAATGCACTTTATCAAAAAAAGAATTTAGCCGGGGCAGTTATCATTAGTGAAATCAGTGGCATCATATTTCCTTCATCTTCTCTTTGAAAAATAGGAACAGCTGATATGTTGGAGTTGGGTGCATGGGGAGGGAGGTGATAGAGTATGGTGTCATTGGAAATAAGTCTATGTGCCAAGTTTCAGCTGAATAGGTTGACGGGAAGTGGGTCAGTTAGCTGTCCAAAGATTTTCTCAGGCAGAAACACACAGGCAAAGTTAATATAAAGTATTAAAAAAAAATAAAAAGTTTCATAAATTAAAAGCTTTTATAATTTATTGAAGTTTGAAGAGAGCAATGTGGAGAAGTTTTTACAAAGAAACGTATCTGTATTTTTGGGCCTTGTGCCTTTTCTTCTGATACTTCTCTTGTCTGTGTTTAATTGTAATATTACCTCTAATTTTAATATTACCTATTGGACATTATTATTTATGATCAGGCAAAGTTTTACTGTGTATTTATTTAGATACGTTTTTTTTCTGCTTAAAAAGGCGTATCTTTGAAATGTTCATTTACTTAGGTCTTAAATAAATCTTGACCCTACTTATGTACACATCATTTGTGCCTTTGAATAACTTTAATAGTTACTTTTTTGAAATAGAGAAATTACACTAGGAATCTGAACAGTGGGCTGTGCTACATAGTCCACCATAGAATCTCATCAATGGGACACCTCTCACTCTTATTTAGTTCTCAATAGAAACATGTATGATGGCCACCCACACGGTTCTTAGCAAAAAAGATTAAAAGATTAAAGTTTACTTTCTCTTTTTTAAATATTTTAATTGAGGATTGTATTGAACTGGTATAAACCGTTAATGATTCAATGACACATAAACATCTTTCATACACTGGAACATCTATCATACACTGGAACATCTATCATACACTGGAACATCTATCATACACTGGAAATCTTTCATACACTGGAACATCTATCATACAAACAATCTGAAAAAGCACAAATATACAAAGCTTTATATACTGTTTTATTTTTAAAAAATTGTATCATGTAACATTAACATAAAGGAAATTTCTTGGTCTAATATTGAGGGGAAAAACTATTTTAATTATGAACACCACAATTAAATATATATATTTTTTAAATATTACAATAAGTTTGACATAAAGTTTGCTGTAACTGGGCATGGTCATAAAATACTTTGACTTTTTGACTGTTTCAAGCTCAGATAATTTTCCCATACATATTGGTCCAGCGACACCTGAATGTCAAATGAGCCGTTTCATTTAGAGTGTTTTACTAACAAGATGAAATAATCATGTTGACCGCAAACTGACCAATCAACAATGAATCAACTTTTTAAAGCTTATTTAATAATCAAATGTTTTAACATGGTTCTCAAACAATTCAAATACTGCACTAAAGTTTTCTTAGCAAAACACAGTTGGGAAGGTGCAATAACTTGCATCAGATCTATGATAATAGACACATGGAGATACATAGATGTTTGATCAATGAGTGGCAATGGCAGATGACATCTAGACCTTGCTGACCCATGTTCAAAGATACAGAAGTGCAGTGAAAGAGATGCAAAGTTTGATTTGCAGTTGGTACGTGAAGAATATTAGACACAAAGTGACATACCAATTAATACATTCTGAATACTTAGATTTGGTACAGTCCCATGGCAACACAGGGAAATCAACAAAAAAAAAAAAACAGGTTTGTATTTACATCAAGTTGAATCATCTGATACACAAATTAATGTCATGTTCAATAAAAAACACTTAAGCTTCTGAAAATAAAATGTGAAAAGTGAAAAAAAAAAAAAACAACAGTCAGATCTAAAGGGGAAAAGGCACTAAATTCAGCATATAAAAAATTGACTATTTGGTACAGTCCCATGGCAACACAGGGAAATCAAAAAAAAAAAAAAAAACAGGTTTGTATTTACATCAAGTTGAATCATCTGATACACAAATTAATGTCATGTTCAATAAAAAACACTTAAGCTTCTGAAAATAAAATGTGAAAAGTGAAAAAAAAAAAAAAACAACAGTCAGATCTAAAGGGGAAAAGGCACTAAATTCAGCATATAAAAAATTGACTAATTACTTTAAAAAAAAAGTAATAGAAAAAATATTTTAAAAAAATGAAAACAAGCAGTAGATTTATCCCATTGCGGGCTCTTCAATTTATGCACACATTTTCAGCCAAAATAATCTAAATGATAAGATGAAAGAACTGAGCCGCTTCTAACTGCAAGGTTCAATTGAAGAACCTAGTGCTAAAAGTACTCAAGTCACATTTTTATCACAATCAATCTAAACTGTGACCTTGTTTTATCATGTTTAGCCAAGTGTACCGGTACTGCAGAAAACACAGTCCAATGTGCCCAAGTTCCTTAATTAAACATGACAAAATATGTAAATCGTCAAATTTTATAGACAAAAAGAATATTTGAACGTGATTATCTCAAAATGTGTATTTTGTGACTTAAGTAATTTCAGAACTAAGGTCTTCAATTCGATTCAACACTGGGTCTTGTGGCCATAGAGTATTTAACTGTATTATTAGCTAGTTTATGGATTCATTAAATCGCCACTATGAGAATGAGCTGAACTGGTAACAGGGCATCTGTTAAAACTCTGAACATAATGAATGAATGATATGAAAGGTAAATCACACACAAATAAATCACACATTAAATCATTCACCCCGTATTACATATGCCCATTTTTGTGTTCCCCCATTGTCTTGAAAGGGTCTTGATTCTTGCTTTTTAAAAAAACAAAGGGAAAAGCTTTTTAGAAAACAAACAAAGTACTCAAATTTTAGATAGAAATATTTTAGCAATTTAGACAAAAAGAAACACCTTATGTGAAAACTTTAAATAGTTTTGATTCAAGAGTAAATGCTGGACATGAACTGAGAGTATATTTTACACACAAATATAACAACATATTCATTTTAATGTATAGAAATACACTGAGACAAGATACGCAACAGTAAATTATTGCATATTTTAAAAAAAAATTAATTTCTATGGAGATTTTGTTCGAGCGTTTGAGATTTGCATGAGGAAAACATTATTAGAACATCCGTGGATTAATTCCTTCTAGCGCAAAAGCAAAGTAGAAGTATTTAATTATCAAAGCAACTATTTCATAATTGGTCATCTTAATCAAAAATGGGGATGATAAAGATTGTATAGGGAGCAATGTTTCTATGTCAGCCTAATGGATCTTGGTGCCTGAAGCTGTTGCTTAATAGATGGCATGACGGAGCATGTTTCTGATATAGAGGATATTTTCCTCTTTTTACAATAATATTTGCATCAAACTTTTATTAGCTAATAAATAATTCAATTATTTCCCTTTGCAAATAAAATTGGAAATGGGAAAATGTCATAACCAAATTTTAGAAAACATTTGTATATGATCACTAACAAACATGACAAACGCCTAATTAAATTATATACCTTAAAATTGTACAACAGTTGATGGGTGACAGATCTTAGGTTTAAAAAAAATATTTTTGAATAAATCACCTTTTCTCTAACTTTAAAAAAAAAAAGCTTTACAAATTATTGACATATTAATATGATTATTTATGAATGTTTTTTTCTTGTAATTCTTAAACAAAAACATTACTAAAATTAAAAAAAAACACCACATAATGCCATTTTCATTTTTAATTTTAAACTAAAAAGACTTGACAAATAATTTGCTTTCCGAGCATCAGATACTCCATATTTAGCTGGATAAATTCATTTGTTGGTTCTGAGCTGTTAGGCAAAAAATTAAAATATATTAAGACAAAAGTAAACAGATCACTTTCTTCAATGTTACAATAATTTCCCTTCATTTCATCGAGATAAAAAAATTTCTCTTCATTTCATCAAGATAATTCAACAAAAACCACTGGCAAAGAGTCCATTGAAAACATGCAGTACAGAAAGACATAATTTATTTTAACAATATGGTGAACAGATGTGGTGCACTAGAGAGAAAGCAGTAACACAGAAACAATGCCCTAAGGGCAAAGGCTGCAGGTTTATTGAAAGTAACAACAATATCTACACTATCAGAAACCACTGATCACGAACAAAACATTTATGGTCAAGAGCAGGAAAGGCTGAAAGTGATACCACTTTCCAAGACAAGCCCTTTTTTCAGCAACAAATTTGCATATATGAGAAACATAATCCATTCTACAGCAGCTAATTGATTACA